ACAGAATTTCAAGACCCTCATACTTGGACACTGTCATAAAAATAAAATATGGAAATAACACATTTCCTAAAAATATCCTAGTTATATAATTTTGGTACTCCTTTTATCCTTTTGAGGTGTGAATTCAGAATAGGTATTCAATCCAAAGCAGAGTGTCTTGCACTATCATGAATTAAAAGACCAAGGCACAGCCATGGGTGAGCGTGCCTACAGCTCATGCTCTTTTGAGGACTGCTGGTCCTCTTTGTCTCCTCCCTATTCCGTGCCCCTTCAGCCTGCCCACTGCTTGAGCAAATATTCCCACCACTGACTGCTGGAAGCATAAAGCAGTGCAGAAATGCAAAGCTCAATGTGCGGTGTTGAAACCGGGTGGAGGTCAGGTGGTTTGTGTTGCCATCCACCAGGGACGAATGCGAAGTGGGACGGGAGCTGCACGATCTCGTTCTTCTGCTTGATATCAAGAAATATTCTGTATAACGCAACCGCAAAGAATGGATGCTTTTGCACAACTGCTACCAAGAAATATCCCCACAAAGAACAGATGGTTTGACCACAGTCCCACCCACAGCACTTTGCACAATAACAGTTAATAAGGTATAGAATGTACCCTGATTTCCCACCTAACTGGGGGATGAGAGTCTGACACAAAGTTGTAGGGACAGATCTATGTGTTCATCCTCCCCATTCTTCCCAGAAGGGACGCCTTTTGGTAAGGCTTGCGTACTTGGCCACGCTGAGTGTTTTCACTCTGGAAATTAAGCTTGTGATTGCAGTGTTCTGCAGTTAATGCATTTATCATTAGCAATCCAAAAGAACTGCATATGTTGCATTTAATAACCCGTGCTATTTGTAACCCAACTGCCTTGTTTGAATGTCACCAGATCTGCAGTTAATAGACTACTCGTGAACCTCATATCAGGCCGATAGTTACGTCTTTACAACACTGCATGGTGCCAAAAAATGGTCCCAAGTCAGCACACACCTAATTTCCTGCTGACTTAGTTTGCTGTGAAAGAAAAAAGCCTATAGGAAAGGAAGCCTGTGTGCTGTAGAAAGGTTTAATGTGCTCTGATCATGTCCAAACTTTCTAGAGAAGTCCGACTGTATTGACTGCTATTATGTTGAAAGGTTAAATTTTCTTACTGTTGTTGCCAAAACCAGTGACCTGACCTTCGTCTCACTGTCAGATTAGGCAAGACTGGATACTGTGCAACACCATATACAGTCACAGTTGTTCTGTACCGCTTTCACTTTCAGTCCCGGCTGTGGCAAGTCAGGGGTGGAATGAAATCTACTCTGAGTTAGTGTTTATAGAGGACTCAAAGAGCCCAAGTAGAATTGATTGGAACTTTTAAGAACATTTTCCACAAAATAAAAAACAAAAAGAAAAAACACACACACAAAAAACCCAACCAAAAAAAAACAAACAAAAAAACCCCCACATATAAAACCCAAGCCAGAGGATTTTTTTGAAATTTCAATGCAGAAATATTGTGGTTTGAAGAAATGAGGAAATAAAAAGCTTTCTCTCAGCTTTCCTTTTCCATGGTTGCCTAATACCAGATGAAGCTCCGTCACACATTCATACTGGTAGCTCCTTGAGCCAGATTTGAAGAGACTGGAAGAACCACAAGTTGTTAAGACAACTTTGAAGACAGAATGCGATGTAAAGTTATTTTTCATGCTTGTGTGAAACTGTTCAGGCCTGTCCTCTTCTCTATAAAAGGCTGCCAGTGACTTTAGTGGTGCAATGGTGGATCATTTCTTCTTATGTAATATGTGAGTTTCTCATTATTCCTAGTTTTCATCAATGTGATTCTGGGTAAGAACTGCAAGAAGAAATATATGGAAAGAGTCTTCTTATAAGCTTGAGAAAACAAACATGATCTTACCTTTGGATCATTTTCAAGCAAGTGTGCTAATCTTTTCAAGTTTAATTGGTCATAGTTCACCCTGTAGTATCCACTTAAATTTACATTTAGCAGGATCCAGTCATATTCTGACTCCAATACTTGCATTTCAGGAAATACTTCTGTAAAGTGACATTAGAGTATATCATTTTATTTTCTGCGCACTAAATTGTCTTGCTTTATGAACACTAGACTTGGTGATCCTCTGAGATCTGAGGTGGGAGTTTGAGGCTGGACTCAAAGAGAACCCCTCAAAAGCTCAGTGCATTTGTGATCTCTGCTCTGCTCAGCAGAATAACTTCAACTAGCCACTGACTCCTCTAGTACTGAGCACCTTGAGATTGCAAAGGGAAGGCTGAAGGCCCATTTTGCTCCTATACTTTAGCTCATAGGCAGCTGTGAGAGTTCAGAAAGTTTACCCAAGAATAAACTCTCTGGATGGGAGCGATACCCTCTCATGCCTCCTGTAGAGCATGCACCCTCAGCACACCTGTTGCTCCCAGTGCTGCTCTAAAACACAGTGCTCAGTACCTTACAGAATAACTGACCTTACCAGTATTCACATAAATGGACATCAAAATCAAAACAGATAAGTTTAAGCAAGGGATAAGTAATTGAAAATGCTTATTTTAAATAAAATAGTCCCAAAGTCCTTTTGAGTAACATCACTCGCTAAAGGCTTCCTTCTGCAGTCCATTTCATCTTACTATTACCTATTCATATGTTCTTGTCTGATTGAGTGCTCCTGATAGTGCATTTGAAAGAGCCAGTGAAGCCTTGAAGGGTCTAAGCTGCCTCATCAGAAGAGTGTTCAAATGCTGGTTTAACTGGCTACAGTCGTCCTGATTTGAGAAGACAAACTCTCTTAAGACAGTAAGTCAATACTGGTGAGTAGTCTAGACCCAGCACTGCTTTATTCTGAACAGAAGGCTGAGACCTAAACGTTTAGACAAAGCAAGTACCGCAGGATTCATCCTGTATTCAGAGGAGTATGCATCCCTTTTCTGCTTATTTACTTGTCCGTATACCATGAAATTAATGAACACTCAAGCTATCCTGTTGTCTGAAAAAGAGGGGAATTAACTTTTAGCCACTGCAAACAAGGGTGAAGAGCTGCAATACACACATAGTGTATTGTAGTTTTTCTTCCTAAGCATTCCGATGCATTAGTCTCTGCCTCTCTTTGTAACTGATCTAAAACCTGAAGGAGTCTGGGGCTGACTTGACAAAGAATATGATTGCCCCATTCTAAAGATTACATTTCTTCTTTTCTTCTTCTATAAAAAATATAGTTGTTCATTGGAAAGCACTGAGTTGGGAAAGAACAGAATTTTTTATTTGATTGCAGATGCCCATAAACTCAATTTTCTAATAAAAGACTTTTAGACTTTTTAACATCCTACTCTTTTGATGAGTATTTTTCATTTAATTTGCATAAACAAATTAAATTAAATAGTGTTAAAAATATTAATTTTCTGTTATTACAGATATTCATGTGCAATTATGTTGGGTCACTTCCCACAGCTGGTTTTAATTTTTTCAGTCTTGTATCTACTCTGTGAGCTGATAATTTTCTGCTATTTCACAGCTGAAATCCTATCTATACTCAAAACCTGGCGTTAACATCAATGAAATCTGTTGGGGTAAGAATAATACAGGAGCCTGAGGTCCTAGGAGTTTGAATTTATGTAAAAAAAATGACAAAATCAAAATTACTGTGGAAAGCTCTACTCATGATATGTGTTGTACCATATTATTAAAAACATACATTGAAGTTTGATGCAACATAGGAAAAAACCCCATTATATTGACCTAATTGAAAATCTACTGCTATCATAACACAAAATCATTACAATGGATAAAGATAAGCATTTCTGTATTAAAGTTTTATCTCCCTATTAAAATCAAAATATATCCTCTGTTTATAGAAGAGTTTGGAGTGTTTTTGTTAGTTTGATTCTAGTATGTATAAACAAATACATTACTTACTGCTGCTTTTATCTAGCCACATTAAGGGTTGTGATGATCCATTTCTCATCCAAGAAATAGGAATAATCCATGTGTTACTTAACAAAAAAAAGATACAATAAGATTAAATCTTATGCTTTAAAAAAAACCTTTTAGCTCACACTAAACTGCATTGCAAATTAGTTCCTTGTTACAAGAATATCCATCTACCTTCTCTCCTCTCTGATGCATGAAACCTCATCAGATGGTAGTACTAAATGCTGGGTCAGCATTTAAATTCATCATAAGGGAATTTTAGCATGGCTTTAAATAGGCACTCATATCAAGAATATTGTTCAATGCTAGGTATTTGAATACCATAGTCTCCCTCTGCTCTCTTTCTCTCTTCAGGCAGTAATTCCCCTCACTTATTACACTTCATCCTATTTCTGGAGAACTTAAAGCTGCTTTTCAGAAGGGTATCTACTAAAACAAAGCCCCATGCAAGCAATACAACTGTGATTCAAACAACTGTAATTTCTTTTCTGATGAAATGTAAAACTCCTGGTGAAACAGATGAAAGCTTCAAAACCCTTAAAAATTCCACAATATACGTCCTGAATTTTCTTACATTCACCTGGTAATTTGCTCTTGCTAACTGTAAAGGACTTCATATTTGTAACTTGGAATTTCTTATCTGAGATAACCAAAAATACTGGATGGACTAATGCTCTGCAATTCTTAGAGCTTGGGAGCAAAGGAAATTCTGTGGCTCTTGTCAAAATTTATTTGCCTATTTGTATCACCAGCAGTAGCTGCCAAGAAAAAACTGCTTTGGGTTTTGCTCTCCTTTACACTTTTCCCCCATGTGATCTCATTGGCTCCATCCATGCACCTCAGTACTCATGTCGTCTGCTGAATTTCATGAATGTTCAAACTCTAGCCAGGAGTTTCCAAAGCGGGTCACCAAAGGTAGCTCCTTCTATCACCATTTTTAGACACTTAAACAAGCAGCACAGCTTTCAAAGGGCACTCAGCAATGATCACTGACAGGAGCTCTAAACTGCACATCAGTTATCAGCACTTTCTGAGAAAGGGGCCAATTATAAAAGTATTTAAATGCAACCATTTTATCCTTGTCAGGAGGAAGAGGCTGGGAACATGTGCGCTGGAAAGAAGCTACAGCATGGTTCATCCAGATTCTCAGTCTGTATACCTGAGAGGTGAGGAAACAAGAAAATGCCGAGCAAAAATCCTGCCTGCAACATATTCAGGATCTATGTTTGTCTTTATTATTATGTGGCTGGAAAAGTCATTATTCCAGAGGAAAGCACCCTTTTGGCAAAACAAGCAGAGTTTGAACTATTCCAAGCTCCAGTCTCAAACAGATTTTACTTAACAGCTCACGACAAGAAAAATCAACAAGTTAAAAAATCAGATCATCAAAACATAATGTGCTAACTGAACAGTTTCCTGAAAAAACATGGTATAAACATACAATGAAAACACAAGCTAAACATACTTGTTAGGATCAGTACTCCTTCTATTCTTTTTATTAAGGAATTGTTCCTGTCTGATTGTTCCAGTGGTTATATTTAATGTTAAAACTGGAAACCCATTTTGGCATGTCCAGGAATCCATTATTTGCTTTACAGATGCTGGCAACTGAACTTTATCCTGTGCATCTATGACCTGCAAGAGAAAGAGGAATGAGAAATATTTATGATAAACAGCTACTTATTGACATTGCTTCAGCAACACTTTGGGGGTTGTTCTAACATATTAGAGAAAGTAGCTGCTTAGCAGTTTGATGATCTTTGGCTTATGCAAAAAATCAATGTAACAAAGTCCCAAGGACATTTTTGACATTATAATAAAGACAGCATAAGCCTTTTTCAGGAATTATGAAATACTGAGATGATATTTCTCATTCTATAACCTGATTGCTAACTTTTCTCTTTTTAGTGTTAATACCCTTACAACCCCTGTATGGCTATGACAGACTTGATTTGTTAATTTCTTTCAAATAAAGCTGCCAGAACACAAAGATTTTTAAGTGTTCTAATGAACAAATTGAATAGTGAAGACAAATTGAAAAAGATACTGAACTAGAGTCCAAACTAGTGTGAATTGATACAGTCTTCACTAGCTTCAGAGATGTGACAAACTTGCACATCTGAAATTGTAGGACTCTCATTCTTAACTTAAGCCTGAGTCTGCAACACAATAGAAGCCTTCTTTAGAGGAACAGGAAAGTGGATTTTTAAAAAAATAAACCTATTATTAGGATCTGTGTTCTTAATCAGATTTCTGTGAAAACCATCGAAGAGTGAAATGCTGAGCTGCCGCCCTGAGTATAAACCTTGCTGGATCCATGGCATATCAGCATCTTTGATCATCAAGCCTAAGTCTGATCTGACAAAACTTAAGCTCCAGAACAACAGGCTATGCAATTTCACGTAGGCTTATGCAATCACCATGGAACTCAAAACTCAGCCTGGTGTCGATTCCCCATCTCATCTCTCTACTCCTTGTACTTAGTTCCACTGATCTCAGGTGCAGTAAAGCAGCCAAATAAGCACTCGAGAGGACATTAGCTGAAAAAAACAGCAAAGCAAACTTCATATGAGAGAAAGACCGCACTAGGGATAGCCACATTCTAGTGCAGCCTTCTACAAATAGTATATACCCCAAATTTGGACTGTGCCAAACACCAGAGAAAGAATACTAGAGATATAAAATGAGTACCATTTGGATGTGGGTCCAGAGATCATCTTGATTAGCATTTGAGAAGGAAAATTCTTTCAGATATGACTGTGCAGAAACAAAGAGAAGCATCAGAATTCATGAGGGTTCAATGAAAACCATCAGCAAGGCAAACAGCAATTTGTACAATTGTCATTTTCAAGCTTATAAATCAAGATGAGGGTTTTTTTTTTCGAACTTACAGTAAGTGCTCTGATGAACAACTTTTCAGTCAGGAAACCAGAAAGCATCCAGGTTATAGAAGCTCCCTGGAGTACAAAAAAACCCCCCAAAAAAGTATGAGAAAAAAAGAATTATTATTGCAATTATTGTTACAATATTTTTTCAAACTATATTTCAGAGAAGTTAGTCAGGCTACTCCTACACTTCATATTTCACAGAGGCTAAAGATGCTTCCACCACTTCCTTTGTAGCCAAATAGATTTGCAACACCCAATAAATTTGTGCTTGCAGCAGAAACGACTTTTGAATGACAAAACAGTTCTGTTCAACAGTTCCTCTCAAACCTACTTTGTACTATTGGGGACCCCTGGTGGCCTAGTGGTTAGCATGCGGGACTCTCACCGCTGCGACCCAGGTTCGAATCCCAGTCCCCCCGGGCAGATGGAGCCCGTTAGCCCTGTGAGGCCATCCATCTATGAGAAGGTCACTCTAAACAAACCTACATCCTGAGGACCTCACTGCCATTGTCCAAGCTTGCTTGGCCCCGGCAGATGAACCTTAGGATTAAAGGGTGGGCTCAGTTCAGCGCAGGCTGTGTCTCACCTAAAAAATCCATTGCGCAGGCTGGAAAGGTAAAAGACCTTTCCCCAAATCTTTGTTCGTGAAGACTGGCCATTATTACTTTGTACTATTGGTTTAGAATCTGTGAGAAATGGAAAGAATTTTATATTTTTTAACCTTGTTGTATGTGATGCTGTCAAACAGAGATGTTAAAGAAAATGATCCTTTGATCTTGTCTTCACTCTCTGACAGTGATCGAACTATTTCACTGTCTTCCCTTAAGACAGGTTGCACAACATGATCATAAAAGATTTTATCCTGCAAGAAAAAGAAAAATCTAAGTGAGCTGATCAGAAGATACTAATTCTCAGGAGACAATGTGGAATTAGCATTATTACAAATCGTTTGTCCATAAGCAAGGAATGATCCTTTTCCCCCACTCTCTAACTTTCTCATGAAGTACAATGGACGACATACCCAATCCTAACATTTTCCACATGCAACATCAGTAATCAAAGAAAATTTTGCGTCTGAGAATACTGTGGGCTTGGGCCTGACAAAGTCAGTTACAGTGTAATGCTCAAGGACAAATAAGTCAACTATACTAAACAGCAAATGAACACATACTGAAATATGAAAGCCTGTATCTCATTTACATCTGTATGTCATGAATATGGTAGCATTTTCCTCCTAAATTCCATGTTTCTTCTGCTGCAACCCTAAGCAGTAACCTAAAAACTAGGCTACTGAGGGTACCAAAGCTATGAGGCATTTCTGCTATCATCCAGTGAGAAATATGGAGGGAAAATGGCTCCTCAGGAGTAAATGCCACCTACCATGGTCAACAGCTCACAGTCCCAATGGAGATCAGTGACAAGTGGTGTCCCTCAGGGCTCTGGTTTGGGACCAGTGCTATTTAGTAACTTCATCAATGATGCAGACAAAGGAATTGAGCATGACCTCAGTAAGTCTGCTGATGGCACGAAGCTGAATGGTGCAGTTAACACAACAGAAGGATGGGATGCCATCCACAGAGACCTGAACAAACTTGAGAAGTGGGCCCATGGGAACCTAATGCAGTTCAACAAGACCAAGTGTAAGGTGCTGCATCTGAGTCAGGGCAATCCCAGATGTGATTACAGACTAGGAGAAGAACCACTGAGACCGGTCATGTGGAGAAGGACTTGGGGGTTCTCATGGATGAAAAGCTGTACATGAGACAACAGAGGTCACTGGCACCCCAGAAAACAAACCCCATCCTGGACTGCCTCAGTCCAAGTGTGGCCAGCAGGTCAAGGGAGGTAATTCTGCCCCTCTACTCTGCTCTGGTAAGAGCCTACCTGGAGTACTGCGGCCAGCACTGGGGTCTTCAGCACAGGAAAGACATAGACCTGTTAGATTAAGTCCAGAGTAGGACCACAAAGATGATCAGGGGGCTGGAACACTTCTTCTATGAAGATGGGCTGAGAGACCTGACATTGTTCAGCACTGAGAAGCCTCCGGGAGACCTCATTGCAGCCTTACAGTACTTAAAGGGGACTTATGAAAAAGAGGAAGAGTGACCTTTGACACAGGAATGACAGGAGAAAAGGGAAAAAATTTAAACTAAAGGAGGAGAGATTTAGATTAGATCTTGGGAAAAATTCTTTACTGTGAGAGTGGTGAGGGACTGGAACATGTTGCCCAGAAAAGTTGTGGACACCTCATCGCTGGTACTGTTCAAGGCCAGGTTGGAGGGGATTTTGAGCCACCTGCACTACTGGAAGGTGTCCCTGACCATGTCAGAAGCATTGGAATTAGACAATCTTGAAGTTACTTTCAAACTCAAGCTCTTTTATGATTTTGTGATAAATCAGTGAAGTTGTCTTTTTGTCGAATGATGATTCGGTTTCTCCCAGCTGTCTTAAGATAGAATGGAAAATGGCATAATTACAAAGAAAAAGACAGAAACTCAATTTTTTTAAACACTGTAGGCCACTTTGAGCACTTCTCCTTTCCAAGGAGAAGATCACAATCTTCCAATTAATGGCGTCAAATTTGTTGACCAACTTTTCTGCTTGTAAACAGCCAGTAAATTTTATTTTCAGAGTTCAATTTGAAGTTGAACATGAGCCAGCAATGTACCCTTGCAGCAAAGGCTAATGGTATCCAGGGCTGCATTAGAAGTAATACTGCCAGTAGGTTGAAGGAGATGATCCTTCCCCTCTGCTCAGCACTGATGAGGGCACACCTGAAATGCTGGGTCCAATTCTGGGCTCCCAAGTACAGAAAAGATATAGAGCTACTAGAGAGAGCTTAGCAAATGTCACAAAGATGATGAAGGGACTGGAGCATCTCTCTTATGAGGAAAGGTTGAGAGCCAGAACTGTTCAGTCTGAGGAAGAGAGGGCTCAGAGGGATCTTATCAATGTATATATCTACTTGAAGGAAGGCTGCACAGAGGACAGAGTCAGGCCCTTTCCAGTGGTGCCCAGTGACAGGACCAGAGGCAATGGGCAAACACTGAAACACAGAAAGTTCTCTCTGAACATCAGAAAACACTTTTTCACCGTGAGGGTGACCGAGCACTTGCGCAGGTTGCCCTGAGAGGTTATGGAGTCTCCATCCTTGGAGATATTCAAAAGCTGTCTGGACACGGTCCTGGGCAACTGGCTCTTGGGTGGCCCTGCTTGAGCAAGGGCGTTGGACAAGATGACCTCCAGAGGTCCCTTCTAACCTCAGCCACTCTGTAATTGTAAATGTATATGGCCCACAAAACTGCACAAGAAGGACCTGGTCTCACATCTGTGTGATTTACTCTGGATTTCCAAGGCACGTCACCTAATTGCAATTTATCAAATAGAATTACTGCCTAATATTAAAGTTTACTTTATGGACACAAATGTCAATTGATTTCTAGAAAGGAAAACTTCTAAAGTAAAGGTTTAAAATTAAAAAGAAGTCAATAATCTATTTCCAATTTAAAATCTAGTGGCTTTTACACTTTTCAGTGGTATTAAAATATTGCATTACAGAAAATAAAGTGAGATGCTGTTGAAGTTCAAAGCAGAACGTTAGCAATATCCCATGATCTAAAAATCCTTCTGACAGAATTTGTTTGACATGCCTTTATTAGTTTCAAATTAAGCATGTAATTAAGTACTTTGGTGAATGAGAAATGGAATTGGACAAATGATATTTCAACTAAGCCAAATAAAAAGCGGACTGGATTAACTGCAGTCACGGACCTGCCCAGACTAAAGGCTTTTCCTTCCTTCAGAAGCTGAGGGCACTATGTAGACATTTAAGATTGCACAGGCAAGTGCACCTCACGTCATGACTGCAATTAGCAGCAACTATCCACCTGTCTCAAGAGTTTAACAATGCATGGATTTTTCTAATATACTACAGGATTTATGGTTATTCCCATTTGGGCAGAACAGGAAGGAATTTTGCCCTGCTGTTGAATTAGCTATGTGCATTATATTTGCCTTATCCACAACCAGACATCCAGGGACTCAGCAGGGTAAACAGACTAAAAACGAACCTGTGTCGTAAAGATACCTGAGGCGTGGGACACTTGGAAAAGAGCTTGGGAGGCAGGGAGGCAAACCATCAGTTACAACAGGACCCAGGAGAGAAATCTGAGTTTGCTACATGACAGATATAGCGCAAAACACCAGCTCCTTGTAACTGCAGAATCACAGCTGTCCACCTGTCCTCTGCACCAGCTGTAGAAGAGTTGGGTATGGTCATGGCCCCCCCACAGATGGAAACCTATCAAGGAAGAATCAAGACCTGCTTGTCTTTCCCACAGGAGTTAAGTTAATAATGACATCGTTTAATTAAATCTCATCTCCTGCACCTCCCTTTTCTTTGTAATGTGGTGGAACTTTGCATGTAAGCGTTAGTACTTACCAGTGAAAGTTTGGGGTCAACAAAGGTAGCTCCCAGGTACTCAAAGTAAGATGCCAGTCCTTCATTAAGCCACAGATCATTCCACCAGTTCATTGTAACCAGATTTCCAAACCACTTAAATAGAAAGAAAAAGTATCTCAAAATGTCCTTGGTCTGCTCTTCTCATTTTTTTGCAGGTTAAGTACACATACTTATGATGAAGTAACTTTATTTATTGTGTATATGTAAAGAGACCCCTGGTGGCCTAGTGGTTAGCATGCAGGACTTTCACTGCTGCGACCACGGGTTCGAGTCCCCGGTCTCCTGGCCTGATGGAGGTCGTTAGCCCTGTGAGGCCATCCATCTATGAGAAGGACACTCTAAACAAACCTACGTCCTGAGGACCTCACTGCCATTGTCCAAGCTTGCTTGGCCCCGGCAGATGAACCTCAGGATTAAAGGGTGGGCTCAGTTCAGCGCAGGCTGTGTCTCACCTAAAAAATCCATTGCGCAGGCTGGAAAGGTAAAAAGACCTTTCCCCAAATCTTCGTTCGCGAAGATGGGCCATTATTATTATATGTAAATTGAATAAATTGCTGGATATTCCTTCAGATAGTGAAAATTCAGTAGGAAAATATGTACCTTGGAAAAAGTCAGAGGTTCAGGGCAATTATTTTTAAATTTCTTCATCTACAATTTCATACCAGGAGTGTGGATCTCAGTGCTTTATGTCATTCTTTAAGGATATTTCATTTCATTTCATTTGCCAATATAATTTAAATATCTAAAATATCATATCAGGCTATAATTAAAAGTAAGGTATTTATTAAGCAATTAAAAAAACATTTTTCCATGTTCTTAACAAAATGAAATTGTCAGAGGAATGGTAAACAAAACTGGGGAAATAACCATTTCCAAAAACAGCAAATCCCGATCCTGGCAAGTATAAAATTTCCACAACAGCTGCTGTGTACTCATATTTGGCAGTTCATATTTAACAAAAACTGATCACTTGTTGATTTATATTTTATTTGCTAATTCTTAAAAACCTGAACTACAACTTTATTTTAAAACAGAGTTTTGTTAAGTATTGACATTTATTTTATAGGTCTGCAAAAAAAACACTGCTCATCTGAAGGTCTGGAAAGTTACAGACCTTGTCAGAAAGGCATACAACTGCACTAGCCAAGCTAAACTCTTTTGCTAGCTTTGTTGACTAAGTGCAAAGAGTTGTTGCTCTGGCAAATAACAGTAAATTAAACATAGTCAATAAAGAAGTGAAATTGCATATCATTCCGAATCAAGTAAGAAAAAATTTGAAAATCTCTGTGAAACTGGACAAAGATACAGTTACAGTTCCATATTAATTTTGTTCTATCATACCATAGCTCTTTCTTACAGAAAAAGAAATACCTTTTGCAATATGCACATGCACTACCACTACAAAAAAATACTGATGAACTCCATTAATTCTCCCACCATAGTAAGTATACTGTATATAGAGTGTACTGTGTTACCCCTACACCCCAGAGTGGTATTCAAGTCCTGTGTAAGAAAAAAAATAAGTAGCCCATTAACAGTTTTGTATCAGTGAGGCCTATGCAATGTGTACAGGTTGTAATATGACAGAACCTGCTTTTAATATTGTTTTATCAGCGAAACATATGATCAAATAGGCTTTCAGTACTCTAGTGCTCGCACCCCCTACTATCAAGTAATTATTTTGCTTCTACTAATGAGTGACTGCATCATCAGCAACTGGAAGGAAAGAATGTCATAGATAAATAAATGCACAGAATTTTTACCACATGCCTGGTGTCCTAGCTCATGTGACACAATTAAGGCAATCATTGCCTTTCTGCTTGTGAATTTATCACTTGGGAGGTACATCAGTGATGGTTCTTGGAAAGTCACTAGCCCCCAGTTTTCCATACCACCTGCTCCAAACTCAGGCAGTGCAACCAGATCTAAATTGATTCAAACAGACAAAAAAAAAAGGTATCTTTAGCACTTTGAAAATAAAGTGATCACATGATTTTAGTTCTCGCACTGGTTCAACATCCAATTAAAGGATACTACATTTTAGTGGTTCTTTGTGGTATTATGTCAAAATTTGCCAATGGTCTCTGAAGTTTCTTCTTGTCACACTTTTCACCTGTGATTGCCATTCTTTCAGGAAGCCACATAAATTCCCACAAAACCCAGATCTGTACTGTATCTTGTACATGCAAATGTTCTGAGTGAAAATGAAGGCTAGGAGAGAATATATTCACTGATGGCTGTCAGAAATCTTTTTCTGACTTGAGTTTCTCCCATATTTGGGTAAGATTATACTTACATTTTTCTTCAGCCTAGCAACAGATAATAAGAAAAATCTTGCTCTTTCAGCTGTGTGAGTAGAGGTATCCTTTCTACTCTTCTTTGAAAGGCACCTTAGAAACATCATCTCTTTGTTTACACAGTATGACTGTTACCTCTGTACTGCCCTTCTGCCTTATGCACAGAGAACAGTTTTCCAGTTCAAATGTGAGAGCTGGACAAAACATCAGGGTCTCAAAGGAAGAGACTGTTTAAACAGTTTAAACTTGGCAGCAAAGATCAAAATTTGGAAAAAGTATACCAAGCATTTAGAAGCTGACACAAGCTTGTATTCCAAACCAGGGAACTATGAGAAAGCTCCAGTCCAAAAGCTAGGCAAGTAATGAAAGCATGGTGCTGAGCCCCAGCACAGCCAGACTGATCTCAGCTACATCTCACCTTGAGTCTACAGCAAAAGTACTTCACTTTTGGTGAGGCAGCCCTCATCCAGCCAGCTTGGGGCAAGAGAGTTCCCCTATAACTGCATTAAAATCAGGTGAAGACAAACCCTAAAAGATCCCTGATTTTAAATGTGTTTATTCTTAATTTCAGATTCTGAGTTTGCAATAGAAATCTCTAGCATTTACAAAGAGCTACTCTTGGTTGATCTAATCCTACTGATTTTTAGGCAAAACTTCTAAGAAAGACACTGGGAAATCCAGTGGATATTGCAAGGCATTACAGTCAGGACTGTTATGGTATTACAGCCTTCTGTGAAACTGAAATCCTTCCTAACAGGAAGTCTACAATACTGTTCTTCTACTTCATTTTTGTAGTAGTTTTATATTAATTAATTAATGTGTCAACATTGCTGATAAACAAAAGAACACAAGCATGAAACAAAATCATCTACAGCCCTTGAGTAGCTCGTATGATTACTAAGATCAGAAAAATTAAGAAGTGAAGACTGCATATAATATATTTTTCACAAGAAGGGTAGAGAGGAATTCTGCAAGTTAATAGAAATACACTGGAAGATAATACATTTACACAGACTAACATTTATTTCTTTCAAGTGCCAAAATACAGATTTGACAAGTCAGTAAATTATCCAGTCAAGAAAAGAAGGAAATTCTTTCCCCACAATCCTGCAATCTGCTAAAATCATGGACAGTTTCAAAACTCATTTCAAGTAAGAATTGCTTGCTGTGCTCACAATATTCTCTTAATATCTGTAAAAGAGCCCATTTCCCCATAATATTCATGCTGAAATGCTTGGGAATCCAAGTGCAAGTAACAAACAAACTGTACAGTGAAATTACATGACGGCATCCTCCTTTCTTGACTGAAGGTTAACTTAACTGACTTATCTGTTGTCCATTTTAAGCAGAAACAATGTTTTCCTGCAGGAGACTTTTTTTCTGGGGAGGAATGTGCGGGATGAACATACACCCAACTCGCAGGTAAGACAGGGACATACTGAAAAAAGCAAGGAATGCTTTGGGGGGACACTTGTTATTAGAGCAAGCATGGATTTACTAGGAGGACATAGGAACTACAACATCCTTATGTGTTATGGTCTATGCATCCCAGAAATAGCCACGTGACTGAAATACTTCTTTCTACCCATTTTGTTGTCCCAACCGCCCCTTTATTAGGAAATTACGCTTTAAAAGAATGAGTAGGATATGAAAGTAAGCATGCTGAGTTACAGATTAACAAAAGCCATGATGCAGAAAGGAAAATTCAGTGAGTTAAAGTTTAGGTGGTGTATTCAATGGTAAACTGAAAAAGAATGTAGTAAGCTGTAAAAGGAGAATACTGCAAAAGAACACATTGCTTCTGTGAATGTTATACCATCAGCAGCCATTTCTGATTCCTTTCAGAAAATAAGTCATCTCACCTGTCTTTGGCAGAGGGTAGCTGACATTAAGTACATCTTCCAGAAATGAAAATATTGGACCAGTGATACTTAAAGCATAGTCAAGATACCCATTTCCAATTGCTTCTTTCCGAGCCCAAATACGTATCTGCAACAAAACAAGGAAGAGTTCTTTTAAACAACCCTCATATTTTCATTCTCTTTGTTTCTCTTTTGTGAATTATTGTTGGAAAAAATGCTGTCTGTCCACACCAAACCATGCAACAAAGCTTTTAATTTATTCTTTAAAAGAATCCAAGTTTTACTGGACTTAACAAAATGTGTCAAAGCACATTTGCTAAAACCTAGGCGAGTTCCAGTACTTTGAAAAGATGAAGATTTGAATCCAACTATGCGTTGTTGGAACAAACAATCTCATAGTTTTTCTTTATTAAGTGGAAAGTACTGTGAAAGGATATAGAATCACACATCTTAAGCCAATGTATGCCAGCCAGTGAGTCTGGGTGACAAGCTTTCCTTTAGCCCACCTAATGAGAGAGAAATGAACTTCCAGAGTGTTTGCAGTCCAAAGATACACATCTCTCCTCTTGAACTTTCTCACAGCCTGAAACAGACCACTGGCCTCCCTCTCTGCTAAAGAGAGCAGATGGCATCTGAGCAGAGAACATCTGTACCTCTGAGTAACAGAAATCGTGGCCGCAAGCAAAGCTTTCCCCTCCTCTGCCCTTTTGTTTTGTCACAGTACTGGAAAGGACAGCTCCTTGCTCAAGAGTGATGGAGTAGGCTGAGAAAAGGTTTGTCTCCATCATATATGTCTGAATGAAAGATCCCCTCCACGTGCCTATCAGCTCAAAACCTCGACATTTCTTGCATCTCAGTGCTACACGTGGTCTCACAAGAAGCTGCACAGCCAAACACTAAGTGCACAGTTGGGAAACATTGGGATTTAATTTATAAGGGAAAAAAAAGAGCATATTCGGCCAGTGCAGTGTCCTCAACCTCTGAGGCCCTCTTTTCAGCCAAGGCTTCAGAGGATATTCAAAGACCGGATCACTTAATTTGCAAAACCTAAACATCTTAAAATCCTAATCCTCATATCAGCTTTGAGTTATAATATCCCTGTTTCAGGTTGGAAATTACTTAGCAGAAATGTCAAAAATAGGCACAAATGAATATGCTCACACAAATATTGTGGAGGCATAAACTGAGTATCTCTGCCTAAAACCAAGGGGTGAAATACTGTCTTCCTCTATGTCACAGAACACAGGTGGTGCCTCTTCCCTCTGAATAAAAGCTCTTTTGAGTGCTCTGCTTTGCTAACTACTGTGAGTACACATCAGCCCAAGAAAAAGGCACCACGATCATAGCTGTAGGCATCCAACCTGTTCAACACAGAAGGTGACAGGTATGACATACCAAGTCCAATCTTCACTTTAAAAAAGAGCCATTATTGTGCTTCGTAGGTGATCTGTGCACTGCCCTCTCACGTTGTCCCACCTTCCCCTAGTAGGATGACAGTGAACTAACCATGCAGTTTTCTCATTTATTAAGGAAATCAAGTAAATGCTACCCTTAATAGCTGTATACTTGAATTTACTATTTATTTGGGAACAACTTGATACATCTTTTCCCTGTTGACTTTGACCAAAAGAAGGAAAGAAAAACAACTGGTGCCAACGCAGTGCATTTTTTTACAGCTTCTCTCAAGAAGCTTTGGCCATTGTACAGTAAGAGCAAAACTGAATACTCACAGATGAAGAAGCTTCAAACACAAAACAGGGACTTCCGAAGGCTAAAAAAATGTGACCACTACTGAATAAAAGATTAAAATACTAGTGTACAAAATGCTTGGAGCACAGTATTACTCCTACTGATGTCATGGTGGTGGTCCTCAAGGGGTCTTGAAGAACAAGGCACTGAACATCAGTGTTTTGTCACAGCAGTGGAAACAGATATTTTTTCCAACTAAGACAGCTAAGAAAGTAAGAAGACCCTAAATTATGACCAGTATTTTCTGCAGAGTAGCTGCTCCAAATTTTTAACATACACAGCCCATACCTACTTCTGCATTTGTATGAAATGAACAGGACAAGACAATAAACTAATTGTCCTAAAAGGTGGGTTTCTGCAGAAATATCTACAGGATAAATGTTAGCAGTTTTGCCACATAAGCAAATAGTTTTGGAATGGAAAACACAGTTAATGTCTGTGGTATCTTCTAAAGCACATGATGCACCACATCTGCTGTAAACTGCCAACTTCTGTTGTAAACTGCTATAATGTGTTATGCAGCCTCATATTTACCTTGTTTCCCCGCTCCGTTCTGGTGACATAATCAAAATCACAGACCACAAAAGCAGTCAAATAAGTCGACATTTTCAGTGAAGTGTTAAATGTGGTAACAGTCCATAGGCTTCCATTTTCATCCTTCATTTCAGATACATCTAGGAAAAAAAAATAAAAAAAATATTAAAACCAATGCTCATCCATAATAAACAAGGAATTTTATATTTTCTGCATGTTTTTTTGCCCCTCTCTTCAATATGCTGTATTCCTGCAATAACTTCATATGTTTCTGATAGAAGGAAAGCAGCCAGACTTGTTGCTACTGACATGTATCAGAGTTGTGACCTTCCATGCGAACACCAAAAATCCACTCTTGAGCTTCTTAAATGAAGTCTTGGAAGGATATCAAACTGTGTCAGTTTTAAGATGTGAGCAAGCTGTGGACATTATTCCACGCTGTATATCTCTAAAACTGATATCTCTAAATCTGATCTATTATAATTCAAATGCATGTGTGCCTAAGAATTATGAAATACTAAATTTAAAATCCTTTTAAATAAGGGGCAGAAAATGCTTCCGGCAATTCTCACAGAGACCCCATCTATATTCCTTAGTTACTTATCTTCCATGCAAATCTTGTAAAACTTAATTTTTATGGCTGAAATTATTTAGTTGAAAAATAGAGATTCATGGCATTGAACTGCAGAAAAAGCGCTTTTAAGAAGAAGGCAAAAGACCCAACAGATTTCTGTAGGAACACTAATTTAGAGAGTTTGTTTGGAACCTTATACCCCACAGACATCCCACATGAGATCCCAGCAAGGGACAGGAGTAGTGTCTCCAGAGCTTTATAGTGAGCTTTTTCTCATTCTTCACATACATAGGAGGCTATAGTGTCTCTGCCTGGTATGTTGTAAATATGTCTTAAAATCTATTTAGAATTAAAGGAATCCCTTGATGTCACAAATACAGGCCTTGCATACTTGGGGCTGCCATTTTGGTTTAAAAAGATGTCACACATAAGACAGACACACTGACTAAGCAGTAAATACCAGGAATCAAACCCTATGCAGCCTGCAGCAGCCAGAGGAGAGGGCATCACAACTAACAAAACTATTTGATGGAATTATTGCCATCAGAGACATTAATTATGAATAACAGTGTCCAAATGTTTAAGTTCATAGACACAGATTTTGTGTGCCCTTTGAAGACATTAGCACATGGATAATGCGCTGTATCAGATGACATAGTCTACTCAGATAAATTGCACCTTAAAAAGTAATTTAGGGGAAAAAAACCCGTAAGTTGACTTGCTGTTTACCTACCAATAGCAGGCATGTTGGAAAGAGCCACATAGCTTGGGTCATGGACAATTCTGATCTTGAATGTGGCCTTCATGGCAGGTTCATCAAAACATGGGTACACTCTCCTGGCATACGTTGGTTCCATTTGGGAGGCAATGAGCATACTGTATTAAAAACACAAGTAAGATTAATCCAGCATGCTACAGCTCATCAAAATCCATACATAGCACATAAAGGCAACAAATCAGAAAAACCAGGAAGTGAATCGTAAATATGCAGATTTGGAAAAGTTTTGCCTATTATTTGAAGCCATGACTAAATCCGTGTGCCCAACAGCCACTTCAGTTTGGATGCTTGTGGAGAAAAGCAGTCTTTTTTAATTAGATCTTTTTTTTTCCCCTCACAGGCCTTTTCCAGATATCATATTTTAAATATTTGAGCTTTCCTACTTTGTTTATTAAGACAGAATTGATTGAAGTTTTGCACACAGCAGACCAGTGCTCAAGAGATACAATGCCCAACTTTAATGTCATAATTAGAGTATCTCCGTACACCTGCTGCTTTCCTTAATGCATGCACTCTTCTTAATTAATGCTATATTTTAATAAAAATTAGTAATAACTGTTAGTTAACTGTGTATGCATGCACTTGCACCCTTCTGTCAAATCCAGTAGAAGAACCCCTGTGAAAACAGCATCAACGCTGTCCCAGTACATTGGCAAAACCAGAATAATATTCAAAAGAACCCTTTTGTACCTTATGCAAAGGACTTTGCCTCAGTTGCCTCTGTGGCACACTGTGATGGATGCACTTGTCCTATTTGAACTAAGTAAGCTTTTGTCCAGTCTGATGTTCACCAAGTAGATCTGACAAAAGTTAATCCTACTGTGTGAGACTGCCAGTAAGAATTCAGCAGCAAATGAAAACTACAGGTTTGCATGGAGACTGGATTGATAAGTGGAGGAAAGTGCATCAGTAGTAGAAAAACTGACTACAAATCAACCACTTTGCTGCAAATATCTGCAGCTGTCTGTTGAGCTCTCCCTCCATAGCACCTGTCTGCAGAGTGGTGATCTCCCCTCAAGGAGGTATGCATCTCAAGGTTACCCTTGAGGCTGAAAGACCCTTTGTCTGACACCAGACATGGATGAGTTGGTGACATTTTTGCATGCATACAACATTTAAGATACGTGTAAGAAACTTACACAATAATATTCGTATACTTTAGTGCAGAGCACTGACTACCAATCCATCTGTACACCTAAATTTACTGATCAGAACTTAATAAACTACTTGGACAGATCTGTTGGAGTGATCTCTGACTCTTCTCCTGCAACACACACTCACTGGAATCAAAAGATAAATCACTGTGTCTCACGGCAGAAATTAACCCCCTTAAAAACTATGTCTCTTTAAAACTATATACACATATGTACAATGAAACATTACGGACCATTCTCACTCAAAATTAGGTCCCCTTGTGGTACACAACGTGTCTCCCCATCTTTTTGCATTACCCACCAGGTGAAACCAGGTCCTTGAGCAAAAACAATCCCTTGGATGGGTTTGCCTTTGCTTGAGGTGGGACTAATCCAAACAGTCTTCCCTAACATACCTCTCTGTAGTGGTTTGAACCAGGTTTTCCCCCTGAAACTAAGAAAGTGGTAATTTCAGGGGGTGGTGACCCTTGGGGCTTGACCAATCAATGCTCCTGCAAAATATAAACATATCTCTCCACCGGAAGAGAAGCAGTGGTTCTTGTAGTTAGAAGAAGAGGTGGCCATGTTGTGGTGAGCCACGAGGAGAAGGGGCTCTGGCCCCTTGGGGGCCTCTGCCCCCCCCAGCCCCGGTTGGGGGGCTGCAGGGACTCAGAACTGAACTAAATACCTGTGTCTGAGATGCCGAAAGAGTTTTCTCCACTGCGAGTGGGTGACGAAGCAATGGAGACAGTAGCGTCCGAAGAGCAGTGGCAAAGAGCCAACTGATAAGGACCAGAAGGAGCAACATAAGCCGGTATGCAGCTGGGGCAGACAGAGAGCTGTCTGAAGAGAAGGAAAAAAAAGCAGCAGCAGGAACAGAGTTTCGAGGGGTAAGAACTGGATAAACCAAAACCCCCAAACTCGCTAGAGACCCCTCCGAGAAAGAGGAGGGGGTGGTGGACTGAGTGGAGTCCTAAAGTGCAGTATGCACTACAGAGAGGAGCTAAGAAGCTCCGGCCTCCTGAGAGCTCAGCCAGGATGGCCAAAGGAATGTGTGTGGAGGGGGTGACCTTGGGTTTTCCCCCCCTCCTTTGCTGCAGCTTCAGAGAAGCTGGCAGCCATCTTTGAAGCAGAGCACAGAAGCTCTGTGAAGGGGCTTGATTTCCCCTGAAGATACCAGACTGTCACGAAGACCCCCGTGTTTCGTGATATGACCGTGGTGGAACGACCTTGTCTGGGGTTACGTAGTCCACGGAAAGACCCTTCGTTTGGCGTCGAGGGGCTGAGAGGGGCTTGGAGACCCCCCCTCGTGTGTATTGGCAAGGATCCAGCTGCAACTGCTGCCTGAAAGAGAAGAAGAAAGCCTACTGCCTAGAGAGAGACCTGTTGCTCAGAGACTGGAAGGGGTCTTTTCTTCTTCTTCTCTCCTGGACTTTTATTTGGAGGGAGAAGAGATTTGGCCCATTGTAAATATTACTGTCATGGTAGAGATAGATATAGAGTTAAGATTGTTTGTAATGTATTATAGTATTTATTTATGTGTATAGTCTTTGTAATATATTCCTTCCCCCATATTGAGTCTCGTGTTTTTGTCTGGAAAACCCATCTCACATGGGGTTGAGATGTGGGTGGGGGGCTAGGAATCAGAATTGGATTTTGGGCCTTGCTAAAACCATGACACTCTCATATGCACCACGGGGACTTTATCTCCATCTACAGTATGCAAAGGTTCTGATTGGGCAGGGCCAGCTCGATTAATGGAGCCTCGCGTGTTGACCAACCAGGTGGCCTTTGCTAAATGCAGCTCCCAGTGTTTGAGAGTCTCCCCACACAGTGCCTTCAGGGTGGTTTTCAGCAGTCCGTTGCACCGTTCAACTTTTCCAGCAGCTGGTGCATGGTAGGGGATATGATACACCCACTCAATGCCGTGCTCTCTGGCCCAGGTGTCTACGAGGCCATTCTTGAAATGGGTCCCATTATCAGACTCAATTCTCTCCGGGGTGCCGTGTCGCCACAGGACTTGTTTTTCAAGGCCCAGGATGGTATTCCGGGCAGTGGCATGAGGTACGGGGTATGTCTCCAGCCATCCAGTACTTCCTTCTACCATGGTAAGTACGTAGCGCTTGCCCTGGCGGGTTTTGGGGAGCGTGATGTAGTCAACTTGCCAGGCTTCCCCATACCTGTACTTTGACCACCGTCCACCATACCATAGAGGCTTCACCCGCTTGGCCTGCTTGATGGCAGCACATGTCTCACAGTCATGGATGACCTGTGAGACAACGTCCTTGGTTAAGTCCACCCCTCGGTCCTGAGCCCATCTGTATGTTGCATCTCTCCCCTGGTGACCGGAGGCGTCATGGGCCCATCGAGCCAGAAATAATTCTCCTTTGTGTTGCCAATCCAGATCCACCTGAGAGACTTTAATCCTGGCAGCTCGGTCCGCCTGCTCGTTGTTGCGATGCTCCTCATTAGCCCGTTTCTTGCGTACGTGAGCGTCTACGTGACCGACCTTCACACTCAGCTTCTCTACCCGGCCAGCAATGTCCTGCCACATCTCCGCTGCCCAGATGGGTTTTCCTTGGCGCTGCCAGTTGGCCTTTCTCCATCGCTCTAGCCATCCCCACAGAGCATTGGCCACCATCCATGAGTCAGTGTAGATATAGAGTCTTGGCCACTTCTCTCGTTCAGCTATATCCAAAGCCAACTGAACGGCTTTAAGCTCTGCGAACTGACTTGACCCACCTTGTCCTTCGGTTGCTTCTGCAACTCGCCGTGTGGGACTCCACACGGCTGCCTTCCATTTTCGGTTTGTCCCTACAATGCGGCAGGAGCCATCCGTGAAGAGCGCATATCGCCTTTCATCTGCTGGTAGCTTGTCATATGGTGGGGCCTCCTCAGCCCGTGTCACCTGCTCCTCTTCTTCTTCAGAGGATAGTCCAAAACTCTCACCTTCGGGCCAATTGGTGATAATTTCCAGAATCCCAGGGCGATTAGGATTCCCTATCCGGGTTCGTTGTGTGATCAGAGCGATCCACTTACTCCATGTGGCATCGGTGGCGTGATGTGTAGCAGGAACTCTCCCCTTGAACATCCAGCCCAGCCCTGGTAGTCGGGGTGCCAGGAGGAGCTGCGCTTCGGTGCCGATCACTTCTGAGGCAGCTCGGAGTCCTTCATAAGCAGCCAGGATCTCTTTCTCAGTTGGTGTATAGCTGCCTTCAGATCCTTTGTATCCCCGACTCCAGAATCCCAGCGGTCGTCCTCGGGTCTCCCCAGGCACTTTCTGCCAGAGGCTCCAAGAAGGGCCATTCTTCCCGGCTGCAGTGTAGAGCACGTTCTTCACGTCCTGTCCTGTCCTTACTGGCCCAAGGGCTACCGCATGGGCAATCTCCTGTTTGATTTGTTCAAAGGCCTGTTGTTGTTCAGGGCCCCACTGGAAATCATTTTTCTTCCGTGTCACAAGGTAGAGAGGGCTTACAATTTGACTGTACTCGGGGATGTGCATCCTCCAAAAGCCCATAGCGCCTAGGAAAGCCTGTGTTTCCTTCTTGCTGGTTGGTGGGGACATGGCTGCTATTTTGTTAATTACCTCCGTTGGAATTAGGCGACGTCCATCTTGCCACTTCACTCCTAAGAACTGAATTTCCTGAGCAGGTCCCTTGACCTTACTTCGTTTAATGGCAAAACCAGCTCTTAGGAGGATCTGGATTATCTTCTCTCCTTTCTCGAAGACTTCCCCCGCTGTGTTCCCCCATACAATGATGTCATCAATGTACTGTAGATGTTCTGGAGCCTCGCCCTTTTCCAGTGCAGTCTGGATCAGTCCATGGCAAATGCTGGGACTGTGTTTCCACCCCTGAGGCAGTCGATTCCAGGTGTACTGCACACCTCTCCAAGAGAAAGCAAATTGTGGCCTGCACTCCGCTGCCAAAGGAATGGAGAAGAAGGCGTTGGCAATGTCAATGGTGGCATACCACTTGGCTGCCTTGGACTCCAGCTCGTACTGGAGCTCCAGCATGTCCGGCACAGCAGCACTCAGGGGTGGTGTGACTTCATTGAGTCCACGGTAATCCACCGTCAGCCTCCACTCTCCGCTGGACTTACGCACTGGCCATATAGGGCTATTAAAGGGTGAGCGAGTCTTGCTGACCACCCCCTGGGTCTCCAGTTCACGGATCATCTTATGTATGGGAGTCACAGAGTCTCGGTCGGTGCGGTATTGCCGACGGTGCACGGTTGCTGTGGCTATCGGTACCAACTGTTCTTCAACCTTCAGCAGTCCCACAGCAGAGGGGTCCTCTGAGAGGCCAGGCAAGGTGTTCAACTGTCTAATTTCCTCTGCCTCCACAGTAGCTATGCCAAACGCCCAACGAAGTCCTTTTGGGTCTTTGAAATACCCACTCCTCAGGTAATCTATGCCAAGGATACACGGGGCCTCTGGACCAGTCACAATGGGGTGTCTGTGCCATTCCTTCCCAGTCAGGCTCACTTCAGCTTCCAGTACAGTCAGCTGTTGGGATCCCCCTGTCACCCCAGAAATAGAGATGGATTCTGCCCCTATGTATCTTGATGGCATCGAAGTACATTGTGCGCCGGTGTCAACTAAAGCCTTATATCTTTGTGGCTCTGATGTGCCAGGCCACCGAATCCACACTGTCCAATAGACTCG